TCAACCCAAACCCTCCTCGGGCCAGAGGGACTTGAAGTGGACTGTCCCCCAAAGGAGAAAGGAGAGTGGGCCGGAGGGAACGGGTGAGGCGTCGCCTCCCACCCTTTGGCACAGTGAAGGTCTGTACAGAAACCTGCAGGCAGAACTGGAAACAGGGCTCCAGATTTAGAAAATAAAGTGTTTGTTTATTATGAAATTAGAGATGGAGGCCCCTCCCCTTCCTCCCTTTTTCCCCTTCCCCAGCTGCCTCCCCCTTTTCTTTCCTTCCCCTCCCCTCCCCCTGGGGCCTGGGAAGCACACAAGACAATGCCCAGAGCTGGGATGCCCAGGGCAGGCCAACAGCTGGGCAGAGCTCCAGGGAGGCGGCCATGGCGGGGAGGGGCAGGTGTGTTCTGGAGCGCTTGCCCTGGGAGGTGGGCTGGCACCCTCTCTCTGCTGGAGGCCAGTGGAGCCAGGATGAGGCCATGAGTGATGGATGGAACCATGCGGGCAGGTCTGGAAAGACAGGAGAGCCCGGGGTTCCAGGTGGTGAGTGGAGGCGGGGCTTTGAGCCTTCCCTGTGCCCCTACCCCCATCATCTAGGGTTACTGACCTGGGGCCGAACATCCCCTGCACAGGGTGGGCAGCAGTGGCTGGAAGTTTCTCTCGCTTTTGGGATGGTCAACAGAAAAAACCAAAAAGCCAGTCACAGGGACCCAGAGAGAATGCAGGCAGATGTGGGCAGGAGACAGACACAGAGCATGTGTGTGGGCAAGGGAGACAGAGAGAGGGTGTGCGAGAGATTTAGAATCTGGGAGACAAAAACAGAGTCACAGAGAGAGTGGAATCACAGTGAAAGAACAGAGATTCAGAGTCAAGCCACACAATCCAGACCCAGACAGGAGAGTGTTACAGAAAAAGACAGAGATCCCTGGAGGGAGACATACAGACTCAGGAGGAGGGAGGTAAGTAAGAAGGAGGTTGCCCTGGGGAAGCTGGGAGGAGGGACACAGGGAGGAAAGGAGGCCTGGGGGCCCCTGGGCTGCTGCCGCCCCGCCTGCCTGGACCCCGGGTGGGGAGGCTCACTCAGAGGGCCTGTGCGGGCTGCCCCACCACGCTGGGCAGGGCCAGGGCCGGCTCTCAGGGGGCCGGGGGCTCCTTGGCCCC